ACGCTGAGCTGCACGGCGGAACCGCAGGCAAAGCTGCGGCAAGCGGCGACCGGGCGTTATTTTACCACAGGTGCCTCGTAGGCAACCCCTGGAAACCGATCCTGTAGGTCTCTTGCAAAACCTCCCCCGTTCAAGACCTTTATGCCTCCAAAGTCAAAGGTGCTTTGGCCAGTGCCGTGCCCTAAAGCTGTGAAATGGATGGAGCCTGGATCTGAATTTCAGGGTGCAGTGAGAGTTATACGGGTAGGGAAGCCCTGCTTATTGAAGGTTAATAAAAGAGTTGAATTTGAATCTTCACCTCAGAAGGGCAGGAGGTGGTGGAGGCAGGGGTTTGGTTCAAGTCCGCCTTTAATCAATCCAGAAGCTTGCTCTGAAAAGGAGCCTCAGAGCTGTGAAACTTGCAAACAGATCTGTTCAACTGAAAACATCTGGTTGCTTTTGGTGATCTTGCTAGCCAGCTCCTAATTATTTTCATTTAAACAAATATCTTCCCATCTTCCTGGCTCATCTGCTCTTCTCACTTTTTAATTGCAGAGAAGTCAAAATAAAGTAGGCTTTGACAGTAACATTGTTTCACAGAACAAATTGCAACACAGATAAAAGCCATCCCATGTGCTTCTGGTCATGCAGCTCCGAGATCAGAAGGTAACTACCCTGCTGGCATGCCTCTCTAGTCCCTTAGCTGTCAGCGGGAGCTGAGGAAAGTCCTCTCAGCCCTGAAGGGTGAGTTGTAGGTTCTTCCTGTCAGTCTCCATGGAGGAAGGAAAAGGGGCCTATATGTGACACTAAAACTGGACTATGAGTAATAGTGCACAGGGGAAACTTTACTTGTATCTCCAGTGGAGTAGCTGGGGTTCTTCCACAAAAACACAGCCACGCTGAAACTGCTCACCAAACTAAAGACCCAGCAGTGACTGTGTGTTCTTTGCTACTGTTCCAGCACAGGCAGAGGGGACAGCCCTGGCATAGACAGGTTTCTGGCTGCTAAAGGTACAATTTGTTACTTCTGACAGTGCTGTGAAAGTCTTTTGCTATGTGATGTGGCAGGCCACATAGTCCAAACCTGGGTAATACTTGGAATTGAACTGGTGCCAGCAGAAGTGGATTATTTTCAGCATAGGATTTTTCAAAATAGTTCAGTCTGCAGTAACCTTCCCTGACTCCCAATAGGCAAGATAAACATACAGGTGAATGGTACCAAAGAAACAAACAGCTAAAATGTAAGGATGGGGGCAACTAAGCGAGCTGATTTTGAATAGGAGAGATGAGTTTGATAAAGTGCACAGCAAAGGAATCCTCAAGTCTTTGACTCACTCTTCCTCCCATTTTCTATAAATAGCTTCCCTTGCCAAGCAGAATCAAGACTAAAACTCTTGTGGTGAGCTCCACCTGAGTGGCTACATCATGCTATACTGGGAAGGCAGAAGAAAAACAGTGATTCCTCACTTGAAGCATCAATCTGAAGTCTAGAAACCCAGTATTCTGCTGGCACACAAGCCTGCTTTTAAGTTGTGGAGGAGTTTTCTGTCTTGGCAAGGAGCCCATTACAAGAGTAAACCTCATGTTGGGGCTGATCCAGTGCCTGCTAAAGACAGGAGGAATATCACCACTAGTGTTTGGGAGTCCTGAATGAGGCTTTTCCTTTCCATATAAAAGGTAAATGACCTCTCTCCTCCAAAATCCACCAGTGCTCCTGCTCCAGTGGCAGGGGGAGGATAGAATCAAATGGACACTGTTTTTCTGTTTATATAAAGCATCACCTAAGCCTGTTCAACCCTTACATGCTTAACCCTGTTCAGCATGAAATGAGATCACGGTAAAAGCATCAGGAAATTTCCAAAACCCCCATTGCTGCACTTGTACAGCTGTGACAATAGCCACAGAAGGTAAATAAGGAGATGGGTTCCCACTGATCAGACAGCATGAAGGATGCAAAATTAAATATTGCCATATAAAAAAGCATGTCCCCAGAGACAAAGGAGAAACCCTAGGTATAAAATGGCAATGCTTTTATGACTGTAAACATCTAGAAAGATCAGAGACTCCATGTACAATGCTTCTTTATCTTCTTGCAGAGGTTTTCATCATCACCATATTGGAGTTCCTCTGTATTTTCTCTTGGGTACTTTTTGGCACTATGTTCTGCCTAGTTTTGAATTAAGCAATGATTCTTTTGCCTCTTAGTTTGGGACTCTATTCCACAATTAATCCTAGCCAGCTTTTTTTCAAGCAAGAAGTTCACATGTCAGGAAAGTGACATAATTGTTTTTCTTTACAGTTTTCACAACATGTTCATAATTTCAGTAGAAGAATTTTGTGTTTTTAATTTAAGCAAATGACATTTTTATAAAAGATTTAGTAGGTGTTTATAGCCTCAGTAATCATGAGAACCCCTAAAAGTCCTGAAATTCTTAAACTTATTCCTTATTTACCTCATAGCATAACTTTCAAAAATTAATCGTATTTCAATGGCAGAGGCAGCTATCTTATCTTTGCACCTGCCTGTAAAGCACCAAGGTCAGGTAACTCCACAAAGCAATAACTGAAGTTTCATGCCTGAAAAGCTTTTGTTAGTATTCAGCCGTAATTGTAGATTTCAACATCCTGTTCTACTTGTGTGCTTTCCACGATCCAAAATAATCTCTTGCTTTGGCACTTACATGAATCGCACACAGAAACATCACGCACATATAATTATGTCAGTAATCTAGGCCATGCTTAGCTGTAATTTCCTAAAGAAATTTAAAAACACCCATTCTTTATACAACTTACCTTCACCATCACAAAGAAAAAGCATCTACTTGGGAGAAACACAGCATTTATTAGTTTTCTATTGAAATGACCCAAAATAATTATTACTATTAATTTTCAGAGGTTTCTTCTCAAATAGCTGCAATGTAACTTCTTTAATTTAGTGGATTTACTTTAAGTAAGGTGATGACGATTCACCACTCCATTTCACAGCTTCACTGAGGCCATAAAACCACTGTCTCTGCCTCTCATACTCCTTCAGAAATATAATGGAAATACTTTATTTGCTTATTTTGAAGATAAATACATGTTTTTGTTTCAGGAGCTGATGTCAGACAAGAGTCTCTGCCAAAACGCTCATCCCCTTTATTTAAATGTTTTTAGCTGATGTGCTAGAAACGTGTCCAGAAATGAAAAAATAATTTTCCCAGAGTTGCAATTTTTATTGGTAGCTGAGTACAGTATATTCATATAACAGGAGGCCTAATGTTTACATTTTAGATGACATCTCATGCATTGCAGGGAGTGCTTGCTCACTGCTGAAATATGATTCTCTCTCTAGTGGATGCCATCAGACCTGTAGGTTACACATTGACAAGTCATTGAGGGAACACATTGCCACACTCTATCATTGGTCAAAAATAGATCAGTCTCTGATGTGACTAATAAGAAAATTTAATGTACATTAAGAAGGAAATAAAATGAGTGTTGATTCCTGTGCCTCAGAAAATCAGTCCAGCATAAAATCAGTTAGATTAGGAAAGAAAAACCTTCCTGTAATGAACAGTTACGGATATCTTTCAAACTGCACCTATACTGGCCATGGTTAGAAATAAAGGAGAATGACAAACAGCTGGTCTAAGCTAGATTAATGCTGAAGAACAGAAAAACAAGAGTCAGAAATTAATGGAAGAACGGACTAATCGCTTGTCCCAATATAATCTTGTGTCATATATTGTCATGCAAACAATGTGAGATTTATTTTAATTTGAGAAGGACCAATCTAACCCAGGTTTGGGATGACCATTTCATTATGACAAGGAGAATATTACTTGAAACAGAGGCCATGGGGAGCTGTAAAGTGAGGAGCTGCTTAAGGGAATACAGGGAGGTTAGTTGTCTTTCAGTGATCATTTAGGGAACAGTATCACGTAAGGTTGTAAAAAATCACATCTAAAAGAAGTAGGCAAAAACCTGCACGTTGAAATTATGTCACCTTATCAAGTTAGCGTAAGATTAGGATAGCATGTAAGAAAAACTGAGAATCAAGTAACAAAAGTGGGGCAGAACTTAATAAAGCAAAGTCATGTACTTGGGGATTAGTAAGAGTTAGATACACTAAGAACTGAGCTGCAAATGACGAAGAAGGGAAAATGCCCAAGTGTGTTATTTAATTATAAACTGACTTATAATCACATGTGTAAATACCACAAAAAAGGACAACATAATTCTGGGATATACCTTACCTGGTGTACCCCAGTCAAGTCTGGGAAGTACTGTGACTATTTCAGAAGACATTGGAGAGCTTCTTTCCAGACACTGTTTACAATTCCAGTCACCAACATTAAAAATTAAATACAATCAAATCCAAAATTTAAACTTGAACCAATGCAGAGAAGAGCTACTAAGATGAATAAGGAAGTGGAGACCCTACTTCACTGGAGTAAACTGCCCTACTTTACTGGAGTAAACTAACAGAGCTTGACTTATTTAGCTCAAGAGAGCAAAGGCTGAGACATCAGATAATTTCTGTATGGAGTCAGGAAGCAAGTGCAAGGGAAGAAAACTCTATTTAAACTTAAAGTCAGCACAGGAACAAATGGACATAAGTTGGCTATCAAAACATTTTAACTTGGATATCCTAAGAAGGACGCAAGTTGTTGGGAGAGCTGTTTGTGAACGTCTTTCCAAAAAAACTATCTTGGCTCTTGCTCCAATCTAGTTTTAGATTAATGCTTGTTCAGATTGAAAAAAAAAGATTATGCGACGTTTGGCTTATGATTTCAGCCCTAGCTTATTATACTTAGTGACAGCAAGAACACTAGAGAAGACTCACTGAAGGAGGGCCTCTTCATATCATCTTTAACATTGACAGAAAGACAGAAGATGTCAGGTTCTAAAAACTCATTGAATTGCTGCACACTGAATGGGTTCCATCAGTTTACTGGCTGTGGACTTGCCTGCTGGGACAGATTATGGGCTGTTGTGCCTGTACGAAGAACTATCACTAACTTTTCTTTCCTTTGCAGATGTTTGTGAGGCTTTAAATGTGACAGTCTCACCGGGACCAACAGTGCGATACTCCGAGGGAGACAATGCTACCCTTTACTGCCACATTTCTCAAAAGAGAAAGACAGACAATTTGCTGGCTGTGCGGTGGGTCTTTGCTGCATCACCTACCCAGGAATATTTGATGATCAAAATGACAAAGTTTGGGTCTGTCCAGTATTATGGAAATTATACTCATCATTTCCACAAGCAAAGACTTCATCTTCTTAAAGAGAACCATGGAACTATGTACAAATTTCTTATTCTGAGCCTCCAGCAAACAGATCAAGGACATTATATATGCAAAGTCCAGGAAATTGGCAAACACAGGAATAAGTGGACAGCATGGTCAAATGGCACGGCAGCTACTGAAATAAGAGGTGAGAGAATACTGATTTCAGTTTTGTAATTTTTCTTGTCCCATGATCCCTTTATTTATTTTCTTACAATTTCATCCATAAAAAAATAACCTAATTTCAAATGTCTTAAGTGTTATCTGTGGATATGAGAAGAAAACCCAATACTCAACTTCTTTACTTGTATATTAGAGTTAGAACGTTATTCAGCTCATAATAAAATGTAAGGAAATGAAAAGATTGGTAGATTTGTAGAAGATAGTCTGTTTCTTTTGACTTCTACCAGAACCACAGTAATTAAAACATTATATTTACATTCAGATGTCTACAACTTTGCTAAGTGAGAATAAAAAAATATAATTTTTATTTAAATACCAAGACACAACAAGAGAAATTAACTTATTTTCTAAAGAATATGCTGTGGGTCAGCCAGAGACAGAACCATTATATCTCGGCTTTGGCCCTCTTGCTGTTTTCATCGCTTTCAGTTCCAGTCGAGCAGCTTTTGGTAAGTAGCAGTTCTAGTATCACTTCTGTACTTTTGTTCTTACCACTTGTAGCCAGAAAGCAGAGCTACAAAAGAAGTGACCAGCCTGCTGGTATTGAACTTCAGATAAAGAAATGACTCGCAATGAGTGGGAGTTTTGAACCAAGATGAAAAGCAGCCTTCTCTTGTGGATGGGCCATCTCAACAGTAATGCCACCACACCAGTGCTTTCAGAGATGGGTGAAACTGGATTTACAGAACAGACTCATCTGAAGAGGTGGTTGAGCTCAGCACTTACATTGTTAGCACTAGCTGTCAAACAAGCCCCCTGCTTATGGCTTTATAAGCAGAAAAGTTGATTTCTCACCAGGTCTAACTCTAAAAATAATGCCAAAAATCAAGGGCAACTGCTTGGTCCATGGGTCTGGAAATATAAAAGGCTCATCCAGTGATCACAGAAAAACTAATGGAAGGAAACTGTACTTCATGAAGTTTCTGATATTCCTATTCATGTTAAACTTATGATTGTGTTTGGACCCCAAAGGTTATTTCTGTAGCTGGGAAACCCTGATCCTGTTTGTCTACCTTATGTTTTGGCAAAAATGGCCCCAACTCTCTCAAACCAATTTTGATCTGAGGGAATTCCACTGACTACAGGCTTTTTCAAAATGGATTTGAACACGTTTATGTAGTCTTCATCCAAAGAACATTTTATCAACACTAGCTTCACTAGTGTAATTCAAGTTTTCTGTATTACTTCTGGTTTATAAACACATCAGAAGGAGAAATGGTGGGCTCGATAATCTTGAAGGTCTTCTCCAACTGAGATGATTCTGTGAAATGTGATGGTAAAAAAATAATCTTTTTGAGTGTATGATCTCCTATGGATAGCTCTCAGGTACCACAAGCTTTCCTTTTGCTCTATCAGAAGCAGGAGAAAAGTGCTTTGTATGAGCCCAGATGTGAAAAACAATGTAATAAGAGAGTGAGAAGCTTCACATTGACAAGCAATGTTTAAGCTTGCCTTGAGAAATCATGGCATTAACATTATGTAATTAGTTGATTATTACTAGCAATGAAAGACACTAACAATCCAAAGCTGAAGTTCTGTTTAGATTGGTAGTAAAGACCATGGATCAATTTTAAACAACAGCAAGAAAATCCTGGTCTAAACTATTTGGTCCTATTGGACATGCAAAACTTGTCTGGAAAGCCTCCAAGTCACTCATATGGGCTTTCCTCTGCTTCCTGCTTGCAGACGGTCAGAAATACAACTAATGACAGAATAGCCCAAACATGAACTAATGACCCTAGCCCAAACAGGAACTCTAACCCCTTACCTGTCTCCACCAGGGAAGTGTTCACCCTTTCCAACACCCAGACCCCAGCTTTGTGCATCAACCACGCTTCTTTTGCACAGCAGACCACAGAACCAAGAATTAAAGGAAAACCTCACCAAAGTTCATTATATGCCTAAATACAAGTCACCAGAACAATCAGTACTGTGGCTCAGAAATGTAATCCTGCAACCAAATGTCATCTGTAACCTATAACCTGGCGTGCTAAAGAAACCAAAGCCTACATGATCACAGTATCAACTAGTGTGCACTCTCTTACATCCATGGACTGATTTTAATGACATAATGGTCTTAAAGATAATGAAGTTGTACAAGGGTTGTTAAATTGGCTGGTGGGAGGAATAGAAGGTATGTATGAACTTCCTCACTAAAGGAAAGCTTTAAAAACAAAACTGGTAATTATTGTTCTTGAACTGCCATGTGCCTAATGACCTTCCACATTGCAGTCAGCAAGTGGGCCTCCGGGATATACCACAGGAGAAGGAGTCCCAGTCCCTTGCTGGGGCAAGGGGAGCCATTTGGGTATGGAACATGGAATTCATTAACTTCACAGCTCAAAGATCTGTTTGTTTGATTTTTGTTTTTGTTTTCACTCTTTTGTTTTTGAACAGGGAGGAGTAAAAACACTAAAGCCAAATAACTCCTTAACTCAGCCATCTTAATCTCTGGAGGGCATTAACTTCTACAAAAACTGACCCCATGTCGAGTGGCTGGAGCCAAGACACAGTGGTTTGTCTTCTAACCACACAGCTTGCTTCATGTACAGCAGTCATTCTTCCCTGCTGTTCTGTGCTTGTCTAGGAAATGGCTCTCCTCCTCCTCTCCCTATCTCTTCCTCCTTCATCCCTTCAGATTTAGCTGAACGGAGAGATTCAGCCACTGTCAAGAAGGGACAGGCAAGCAGGAGAACTTATCTCAGCTGCCTCAGACTCCCATATTTAGGAAAGGGCAAAGCTGGTGACTGGTGTGGAGAAGGTAGGCAAGAGCTCTCATCTCAGTTTACAAAGAACAAATGGTTCAAATGCTGTGCCCAGGAGGAAAAGGAGGAGAGGCTGAGTAGCCATCAGGTGTTATTACTTCCAACAGCATTTCAAGTGAATGGTCAGGGATGCAGCTTGTGAGCCTACAAGCAGGGCTGGTAGGCCACCACACCATCCCAGAGTTGCCTCGAGGACAGACTACACTTCTTCCCAGTGCTTCAGAGAAGAATGTCTGAGGATAACTTGAAGTAAGGAGGTTAGAGAGGGCCAGGTCTTGTGTCAAGAGGCAGAGAGAAACAGTGAAGAATGAGAGTGCTGTTTCATCTGAGGGCTTACACTATACTGACTCTTCCCCTCAGATCCTCTGCACCAGACCAGGTAGCTGTCTTCGAGAGTAGTATGCTGAAAGAATGAGTAAAAAGTAAGTGTTATGTTTCTTGCATGAAGGACTTTCAAAATATACTAATAGATGTACCCAAGGAATGCAGAACAAGTAGCAGGCTTGTGGGGAAAAAAAAGGAATAAAATCAGATGGAGAATAATTTTTAGGAATTTCCTGTCATAGCAATTTTATAGTGCGAGTCAGCAGTTTAAGGAGTTTTTTTCATTCACCAAATGATGGAATTTCTTAAGTGCATGTAGTGAAACATCAGGATTTGTCAGGAGTGCTTAGAACGGGAATGACAAGTTCTAAGTAAATGGCAACAGAAGAAAAAGTAATATAAAATATTGTCAGATGACCTGTCATGCCCCTCCTCACAAAAAGCCAGTCCACGTCTTTCATAGCTGCTCAGGCTACTGCTAAGACAGAAATCTCCCATGGCTCTTCCTAGCTAAAGTGTTGGGTTCATATCAATTTAGTTATTGCAAAGAAGGAAAGTTGTGACTTTTCAGTCCAGCCCTTACATACTATTGGCACTCCCCCCCAACTTTTAGGTTTAGGTTTTAGTATGATTTATGGATCTATAACCAGGATGGGGATCTGAGACTCCTTACTTCATCTTTCTCACACTGTCTGATCAGCTGTCCTGCCTCTCTCTGCTTCAAGTGTAACTCAAAGCAGAGCAGGAAACCTGTCTTGAGAGGGGAGGAAGGCAGGCCCACCTGTAGACTAAACACACTTGCAAATACACCCTGTGAGGATCCGAGGCAGACACCACCATCATCCCAGCCCCCACCCAAAAGAGCATTTATTCTGATTCCAAATCTAGATTAAAGAAGCTGAAAGACATGTGAAAAATGACATATCTTTAAATGCCATAGCAGCTGTTTTACTGCTAAAAGCCTCTTTACTGGGAACAAAGGAGTGTCTTAACTGGCATTCAGTTAATGCACTGTGAGTGTACAGGACACTACACATTGGAGGGGAAGGCAACTCTTCAGAGTGATCATAAAGTCTCCAATTTCCCCAATGGTAATACTTGGGTTTTTCAAGGAAATTTTCTTCCAAACATATTTGTATTTTATATTATGTTCAGTTACACTTCTTATTGCAAAGGGATTTACTCATATTAAAATTGGATCCAAGATGCAACAAAAGGAGCAATACAAATTGCCTGAAGCATTTGGATACTTAAATTGTACTACTTGTGTTTGAACACTGCTACCCTATTTTATCAAAAAAATGTCAAAGCACATCACAGTTGCTGTCTTTTCTAGCATTTTGTTCAAGTTAATGTGTCTATGTTTATGCCCAAATTCAAAATAATATTTGTATTTCTTATAATCTTGCACATTGGCAAATATCATTGAGGTCCCCTTTTTTTGTTCACATGGGAAAAGGAGCTCACTGTGTAAGACAAATTTCCAGAGAGAATGGAAAAGGGTCATTTTGCTTTTTAAAATCCAGATTCCTCTCGAAGTAGAAAAATCCTGGGGCAGTTCAGCACATAGCCTTTGTCAGTCACCAGGCGTAGCACTACTCAAAGCAAAAGACCTCACCAGACTTAGGTCTGGGTCTGTAGTATCTACTGCTATTAAATTATATTCAGATCTTGTTGTTTGGTAGCAAGTTTGCAAGTGTGAATTTTTGTAGGCCGTCAAGAAGTTGCAAATGCATTTTCTTGCAACACAAAGTTATACAGATACACACAATGGAGTTGTGGTAAAACAGTTGAGTTACAGGCTACAGTTCCTTAATGTATAATGATAGCAGTCAAACGTTTAGCTGTATGGCTTCTTTAGGGACAACACATTTCTTTAGAAAAGGAACTTCATCTGATGGGGACAGCATCCTGAAAATCTTCCGTTCATGGACTCATGTGTTAACTACAGTGACTCTGCAGTGGTTTCAGAAGGCCCAGCTGAAATTTGAACTATTGCAGTTTGCCCCTTTAAGTGTAGTGAATACAGGGCATCAAATAGGATTTCTATAAAGGCTACCGTTAAATCTTGGCAGTAAACCCAAGTGAAATCCACATCCTGATGTTGCCAAGAAATGTCTCCTACTCCAGCCATTCAACATCGTCCCTCTAAGCTAAGGTAAATCTTTTTGTCTTTCCCCACCTTCTTATCAAAGGTATCTATTCTTGTCCTGGGCTTGTGTGGTAAAACACTAAAGTTAAAAAAATAAAACCTAAAACCAAGTTAGCGATCTTCATTATAGTACAGAGTACACCAGAAAACAGGTTTTTTGAGAGGAAAAAAAAAAACAACAACAACAAAAAATCAGAAAGATCATTTTCCCACTGCCTTCCTATCAGAAAATTTAAAATAGTGAGCAGTCATCTCAGAACAATACACAACACCTCCAAACCATCATTTACAGCTAGGTGATCCCTCCAGACTGCTATGCGAGGTACTGCATATCTCATAGGAAGAGCAATACCTGATCCAAATGATTGGCAATCCAAGAGAAGAGACTACATGTAGGAGGACAAACATAGAAAACCAGGCAGTCCAACTATAATCCTACTGGCATGGAAAACACAAACAAGTAGAGATGATCACAACAATCTGTCTTGTTGGGAAGATTGTGTGTCAGAGTTTCCCATAGAACGGAGTCTGTGTTCTATTAAATATTAGTTGCATGTGGTGTTTTCTAACCATGAAAATGTTGCAAGATATAGGAATGCAAAATTTATTTTTTTTTTTCCCACCCAAAACGAATAAAAGTTTTTTTTTTTTTTTTTCTTCAGGGAAGGTATTCTAAAATACTTGCCAAAAATCTACACATGATTCTTTTGTGTAACAAATAAATAGATTTGTTAAAATATTCATAATGAGCTTCCCATCACAACTGAACAGAAGATATCATTAGTCCAGAGAGCAGTTCCATATCCATTGAGTTAGCCCCACACCTCACATCCTTACAGGGTACTCCTTAATGAATTCTCTTTCCAGTAAGATACTTGTTCTTTAATAATTTGCCACATGAACCTCTCTTGGAGGTTCAGATCTCATTGGCCATCTGGAAGACATCACCAGACTCCTATTCTATTGCAATGGTTATCAGCAGAAGAAAAATTATGGATTAACATCAGTGACACCATCTGATCTGATGTCAGAAGACTTGTCAGCATGCATAAACAACCTGGCTGAGGAGAGTGGAGAGGAGTTTGAACAGTGAGCCAGCAGCCAGAGCATTTGGATTCTAGTGCTAGGTTGTCCAGCTATAGTGATACTGACATTTGTCTGTTTGCCCAGAGCTCTGTAGTCTGCTCCTCCATCTGAAACAGAGGACAATTCTGTGCAAACTCTGCAGCTATTTCCCCTGTTAATTGAGTTAGAACCCAGTCATGCAGTCAGCCCTCTTACTAGGTTGTAAAGGTGAGTTGGTACAACTTATAGTCATGCAGTCTTTCTTGTCAGGATAAAACTCCCACACATAGGCAGAGGAATTAACTGCAGCTGAGAACTTAAGCTGTTCTGCACTCAAAAGTCAATTTATACAGCAGCAACAGAGCAGTTTACATTAGTCAAAGTGCTCAGCCTAGTCCATTCCTACGTCTAAGCCAAGGACACCAAGGGCAAATAGATACAATCTGCTTTCCAGCTCAGACATGCAATTTCTGAAGCATTTGAACAGGCTTCAGAAAGTCCATGCATGCAATATTTATTTTTTTCCCCCAGATAGGCAGGTATCATATCCCTGTATCTTCAATATCCCTGTATCGAAGTCAGCTTCTGAGGGAAGTAAGAAGAACAAAACTCGAGAGCGGTGCTCTTACTTGGGGTCTCAATGCGTTATTTGGGTGCTGTTGTAGGAACTGCAGGTAGTTCAGCCTGCCAGGGGACATCCACAAGAGCTTTGGAAGGAAGGCAAGTTGGACAAAATCAGGGGCCTACAGGGTCAGTCCTGAAGCTAGGAAAACACAATCTTATTGCAAGAGTCCTTCAGTAGCAAGCATTGCTAAAACAACTATTTTAAAAAAAATTGTGCCTAATGTGTCCGGCTCCAAGTCAATCCTCCGAAAGCCTTTGGAGCTGTGTCCTTTAGTAAAGCTAGTGCTCTTCCAATTATTGTTTTTTTCCTTTAACCTCTAAGGCTTAGAGAGACTACGGTGTTAAAAATCCTTCTTAATATATAACTATAAAGGAAAATATGTACCCATTCTCGTAATCAAAAGTTGCTCTTCTCTCTCAGAAGTAGCCTTCTTTGGGACAGGAACACAAACTGCAACTCTAGAAGTACAAGTCCTGGGTAACTGAGAACAGGGAGATGGACTAAACCCAGCTGCATTAATGGCAGCTTTTCCCCTGGGATACTCAGATCATCCCCACGAAGCCATTACAGAACTTACAAGCACATGGCTACCCTATTCTAAGGGTGGTGCTTCTAAAATATGTTCCTATTCTCTTGTTCTTCACTGCATTTAACTTCCAGTTGAAGAGCCACACATTGCATCTTCCCAGAGTAAGATGACAACAGGGAGGCAGTTTCAAGCCATACAGCACTCATGGGGTTGGCCAAGCCAGATGAGATTTGATGGAAGATTTTTTCATAATGCTGTTTTATAATAAGAGTGTTTCATTGAAAGGTAATTATCCTGTGAGATAAAGCAAGATCTCGCTGCACTGAACTCTAAGGCAGAGCTACGTTTACTTCAAGAGATCCCAACTCTTTGTGCCACACGTTTCAGTTCTGCTCATGTCTTATTTGGTATTTTTTTTTTCAGTGATTTCATCAAAATCTCCTGATGATCCCACTTTCAAGAAGAAACATGAAGCCTGGAAGTTTTTTGAAGGTAAAGATGCATGGCTCTATAAAACACTAGTTTAGTCCAGTGCTGCAGGACAACTGAAGTGCCCCAATCAGGACCAATTTTTCCAGTTCTTGTGCAAACGCAGGCCTTGCCTGAGAAGTCATCCCACGTGGTACAAGGGGTGCAGGAGAACAGAGAATAGAAGGCTCCAGCTTCAGTTTCTCATTTACTTGTCATGGTCAGTGGGGAGAATAACCTGTGCCTGGCTTATCATGCAATCCAAATGTAGAACCTTATCCAGAAAAATCAGAAAGGTGCTGAGCACGTTTGAAGAGGTACCAAATGCTCTATGCTCCTACTAGCCTTAGAAACTGCTCACTGAATATACTCTGCATTGCAAGAGCAGCTTAAAGCTCCCTTGAGTTTCAAGACAAGTGGTATTTTGTGTAGATTAGTGGACAACTATTCCAGGAGACTGAAATCCAGGATTTGGACACAGCTGAGACTCTTTCCTTCTCCTCCCACCCCACCCCAGAGCACCAGCGAAGCACTAGTATGGCATTTGCAGCCACTGCACTGCCTTCTAGTCAAGAGTGCTTGCTTGTAGGATGGCCTTGATTCTGTGGGTAACCTTGCTGTTTAAACCACAGTTCACAAACTATATTGTTGCAGTGCAAGGGGAACAAAGCACAGAACTGCAGGTCAGGGGTCTAGTTCCAGAAACAAGTTTTCTACAAGAAAACTTGACCTATGAGGCTTAGTTTCCTCTCTGTGAAGCAGGAAAAAAGCCAATATATCTCCCAAGGGCATTTCAAGACATTAATGGGTAGAACATCCTTAAAGTACTCTATTTAGAGTTATGGTAAAAGCAGAAACAAGTAATTAAAGATTTTTTTTCTTTTTCTGAACAAAATATTCCAACTTGATCTACCAACTTTATCAACTCTTGTCAGCTCCACTGAGAATGTGTTATAGCACCTGAATGAAAGCTATAAGAGAGACTGAAGCTGTAGACTGCAGAAGAAAAAGAAAAAAACAAACCAAACAAACATTTCAAGACATTGCTGCCACCAGAAGAAGCAGTCAGACCTTTATTTCTCAGTCACTCAGCACTACTCTCACCAATACTTTTCTACGTTGGTTTTATTTTTGTTTTGTTTTGTTTTTTAAATACAGCTGTTTAAACTGGGAAATTATCCATTTGAAGTCCTTTTGTTTTTTTTCTGGTCGATGTACCAAAAAAAAAAAAAAAAAGTAAGAAAGAAACCCAAGCCAGCCCTTTCCTCCCTCCCAAAAATAAGCCCAGTAAGCCATCCTAAGCGTAGTTACACTGATTTGCATTTATGTAGACCTAAACAAATTTTAAACTGAGCAGCATAGCGTATGGAAGTTTCTAAAAGGTTAAATTACTCCTGAACTGTTACTCTAGATCTTTTTGGTTGGGGTCTATTTAGAACTTGTAGGTGCAATCTATTCCTGTGCTCTGAGCATGAAGCATAGAGCTGCAACATTGACTGTCATCTGTGCTTGGCTTTCAGATCTGTACGTGTATGCAGTATTTGTGTGTTCAATAGGAATCATCAGTGTCCTACTTTTTACACTTGTCATTCTCTGTCAATCACTTCTGAACAAGAGAAGATCCACAGGTGAGTGAAATGTCATTCTTGTTGACTGCATGGCTCTTACTGAATGGGGAGAAGGAGAATGCAGAAAAAGCAAGGAAGAGAAATATCTCCTTGCTTTGATTTTAAAAAGACCAAACAACAAACTGGCTGGTAGAAAAAATAAAATTCTGCCAGCAAGACTAGAACGAATGCATTTTGGTCCCTCTGAATAGCTGTTTCACTTCAAATTCACTTTGGGCTTTTCAAAGTTGTTCAGTTTTGCATAAAAAAAAAAAAACATTATGAAGGTTGTTGGCTGTTTTAAAGAAGACCAAGTGTTGTATCATGAAATTGCATTCTGACACAGCTAACATTTTGCGTGACTGATGTTTCTGCAGGTGTTTAGAAGAGTTCAAATGTCTTATTCTGTTCTGTTTTCCTCACCTTTCCTGACTAGCTTCAATATTCTTGGGATACAGAGGTTGTTACTAGCATTCTCTCATTTGTAGCACTCTTTGAAACTGAAGCATTATTTTGTCAATCAGATATACTTTTTCATAATAATCTTTCAAGATCAAGGATTACCTTGATTCTCTTCCTCAGAGAAGCTTTCTCAAAGAGGCTATATCTGCATGGTAGCAGTCCTGTTGTAACCCAAAGTGCTATTTCAGATCTGTGGAGTAGTCAGTACAGGCTCTACTTTCATTTTGGTTTAAGAGTGGTTTATTTAGAGACCTTACCCAAGCTCTGAGGATGAGATACCAGCATGCTTAGTGGCCACCATGTTAGATGAAAGCATAAGGACCATCTCTGAAGAGAAGCTTTTAAAAAAAGTTTGATTAGTGATTTGTCCTGTTAATGATGAGAGAATCATGACTTCTCTGCTTCTTCAGCATTACACACATACCATGAAGGTATGTGACTCAGACACACGAGGGAGGAGACACAAACCAAAAATAGACATATACAGAAGTCTTTCCATGACCACAAACACATTTCAGGCTCCGAGTCCAGTTTCCTGGTAGTGTGCTTGGTGGAGTAACTGATTCTAGCTGAGCCAAACAACTCTGCTGGCCAAGAGGAAGGAGCAAGATCAAACATCTTTCTTCCTACTCTGTTAAGTGACAACAAAGGTTTTGTGCCAAGGGAGTACCCACACTTAAGTATGTTGGTCATGGTGAGTCACCCTGAAGCCACAAGCACTAGATACATTGAGGTATACCGTTTTTGACTTGAGCAGACATTGAGCTAGAATTTGCTTCTGGTTTTGTTGATTTATGCTGGTGTAAGCACAGAAGCAGATTAGAGAACAGGTCTCTTTACACTGAGCCAACACCAGTTAAATATAGAACTAATAGAGAATAAAATCTAGAACAAACATATACAACAGAGAAAAAATAGTTTCCTCTGAGCTGCTAAATCCTTTCTTCACTACAGTAATACATGAATAATTGCAGGCTTCACCAAACTTTTATTTAGATTTTAAATATTATCCAATAAACACATGGATTCAGGGGAAACATAGCAGAATAAAGCTTAGCAGACAGGCACTCAGTATAAAATAAGTTTTTTCAGGCAAGTCTTTCAGCTAAGACCACTTGATCAGAATATTTTCTGGAGTCACATTAATTGGTTCAGCATCCAGTCAAGCATCAGGGGATTAAAATTTCTGAAGCAGCAGTGGGAAAAGCATCAGTGGGAAAAGCATCAGTGATAGGCACAGTCTCCACCAGCCTTGTATTACTTTTTCTTCCCTCAGCTTCTGGGCCATGGCAGCAAGCCCAGCCCTGAAGCTCTGCCCAAGTCATATGGAGATGGGACACAGAGGCCCCCCTCCTCCCTCAACACTCCTCTACACACTCTAGAGGCACCTTCCAGGGGTTAGAATCTGACCACAAGATACCCACCCACCCTGTCAGCCAACAGCAGTGCTCTCTCATCCAGACTGTTAGAATAAGACATTGCTCCTCAAAAAGCATCATCTTACTTCTCCATGCCTGGCACTTAGTACCTCCCTCCCAGGCTGGATTAGGTAGATCCTGGTATTCACGTGGAAAGAGCCTGCAGTGAAATCACAAAGTAAATCCTTCCTTGAGGAAAGGAGAAAAGACAGGGACAGCAGAGCACTCTTCCCACTGCATCACACCAAGCCTCCAGGCAGGCTCTAGGCAGAGTCTTCTTCCACCTTCAGTGAGTCCCTCCAGGAGAAACCAGGCTCTGTTTTTCCCCTTGAGACCAGATCAGGGGCTCAGGACAACAAAAACTATCTCCTTACTGGGCAAATTTCCATCAGAGCTTCTCCCTGAACCTCTCCAGTCACACCACCCCTGTCAGAAAGACACCAACAGCTCCTTCTACTCTCCCACTTCTCCAGCTTCTTCCCCCAGTTCATCAGCCCTTACACCACAAGGAGGATTCCCTGTCCTTTCCCACCTCATCCTTCCCTGCCCTGCCACATCCCACCCCCTCTTTTGCTGACCACATATCCCAATAGGAAGGATATTATCATTAATGGACAGCAAAGAAGCCAGATCCCTCCACCCAGTTTTAAATCATATATGAAGGATCTGAGGTTGCCAACCGCTGAGGAACAAAAAGGTTGATATATCGACTCACAGCGCAAGGTGCAGTGAAGACAGGAGCAAATCAACTGAGGAGCCAAGCAACCAGTCCCATTCCAATTGTATGGCCATGACCATAAAATAGTGCTATTATTATGATTATATTCCTTCCTCTGCTTCCAGCCATATTGACATCCTGCTGCCAACTCTGCCTACAACAGGCACTTGTGGGACCATCCCAGTAACCTGAAATCCTACATAATATACCCACTCTACAGATAAGCTCCCAAGACCAGTGGGTGTAGAGCCAGCATTTACGCTGCTAACTTAAAGGCAGGACACCTGATGTTAATGCTGATGGTGGGGGCACCTGGTGGTGATCTCCTAGTTGGTTCCCACCCAAGGCTGGCCAGGTCCTGTGTGAAAACCAATCAGAAAGGTCTTTTTTTGCCTGGTTGTGGACATCATCCATATGCCAACTCTGATTCAGGGCTAGGGGTTTAAACTCTAGCACTTCACCACCACCTACAGGGAGCGGAGGCAGACATCCAACTAAGCACAGGGAGAAGAGGTAGGGAAAACTCTGACCAGCCCTCTACAAGAATAGCCCAGCATGGGACAAAAAGCAACTCATACTTGAACTGAAAGTTGGTATTTGCAGTAGATGGTGCTGGAGATGATCCCTCTGGAATGTCTGTCTGTGAAACATGAGCAGATCCCGGCTCACCTTGGGGCTCTGACATGAGGATTAATGCTGAACCAAGCTCCTCACTAAAGGAACTCCCTCAGTTTGGATTGACACTGCAGCTGGGGCTGGCCCATAGCACAGGGCAGCTAGGACATGCTGTGGGAAGCAGCAATGGTTGCAGCTGACAACACCTCTGCAGTTTTAGTAGAAACCTATCTAGCTGCTTGTTACTGGAGTTGTTGCTCTTCCCTATTCCAGGTTCAAAGGCTTGAAGCATTTACTGTAAGGCAAAATAATACGTACCTAGAGATGCTCAAAAGCACGTTAGTAGTGTACATGAGCATCCTCTTACTCCTGAAGGGTACTGGCCTCTGGTTCATCTCTAAAGGTCAGACAGATAGATGGAAGCACTGCCTTGGTTGGCTTAGACATGACCCCTCTGTAAACCCCTGTTCCCAGTGCTCTCAGCTCCCCTTTCCATAGGCCTAAAATGTACCTCTCTAGGAGCTGTGTAGCTTCCTCAGAAAGGGAGAATTTAGGTAAGACCACATATGAAAAACTTTCCTGTAGAGAGTGGCGTAATCATGAAAGTGCACTGGTTTCTGTTCTTTCTAATGGTCTTTTAAAGAATGGAGAATGTCACGGGATGGGGGGCATCTATGTTGTATTCAACTTCACACCATGTCCCAGGGATACACTCTCTTTTCTTTCTGAGAAATAAGTTGGCAGTAGGTCGACCAGAAGAGCCAGAGCCTCTCCTCCTGCCTGCATATCCCTGCACTCAGCACGTGGCACAGCTTGGGCAAAGCACAGGCACCACTAAGCCACAAAAGAGCATCTTAATAACCCTGGATCCTAAAGGATTGCGGGAGGGAGAGCTGCCCTTGCTCAGGACTACTGATTCAAAGGAACATGAAGCAAGATTTATACAGCTCAGACACACAGCTGTCAGGAACAGGACCTCTGATCCAGTCCCAGGAGGCAATCCCTTTATACCTGAGGACACAATCTAGCCTACATTAGGAACAGCAGTGGCTCCTGTGGGTGAATGGTTTATTTCAGGCTTCTGGAAATAAACAGAGGCAGCACAAATCTTCAAAGTAAAATTACTGGCCTGCTGTGCTTTTCCTGGGCAAGTTGCCTTTTGGCTGGGCTGACCACTGGAATGTGTGTTGCCCAGCATTTCCACAGCAGATTTTTGGTGTTGTTTGAGACATTCCCCTCTCCCAAGCCTAGCTGTGTTTTTCAGTCAGACTGTGTTTTCACGCGCAATATAATGTATGGTAAGGATTAGCAGCTCTCCCAGTGTAGCAAACTGGCAACTCCACAGTCTCAGCAACCAGGTCTATTTGCAGTGCCCATTTGTAACTCATAAACTGTGTTGGTGTGAAACCACATTTTCTTTCTTTTTCTCCTTTTTTTTTTTTTTTTTTCCTCTTTAACAGTGAAGCATTACCTGGTGAAATGCCCACAGAACAGGTAGGAGATTACACTTTTCTGTACTATAACCCAAGACACCCATTCTGGTTTTGTTTTTCTATGTATGCTGAAGAAGATGAGTAATATTTTCAAAAATGCCTACAGGAGGATAAAGAGTCCTGGGCTAATGACTCATGGACATGCCTGTGAGCCAGCCTCTGCTGTGCATGATAAGGGAGATCTGTCTAGCTGTAGGTCCTGCACGTGCTCCAGTGACAAGCCTCTCCTTCAGGTTCCAAATTGTTTTCTGGCTTTCTAGGGTTCCTCAACACCTCACCAGATAGTAATGACTTAAACCATCCATGTACATAGGAAAAAAAACAATGTTACCAGTAGATTCCTGCACCAGGAACAGGGAGTTCTATTCCCAGCTGAAGACTCCAAGTGGTGGGAAAAATTGTACTTCTGCTGCAGTTATTAATCATTGTCCCTTTAAACACCATTGACTGCCAAAAGTTTTTGATTGTGTGAAACTGATTTCCATGGTATGGTTTTCCTGAGATATAAATTGTGCTGGAACTGCAGTAGAAAAAGATGACAGTATTTTACAAACAAAAGAGATTAAAGAGGGAGGCCTTATAACAACACAGAGGAACAGCTGTTTCCCAGTTTCAGTGACATAAAACATGTTTCTAGCCTTGTAGTTTAAATCCAATATCACTGATACTGCTTCTCATAGTACCTTTTTAGATACTATGAGATTCAATGCCAAGTGTAGTATACCCTAGATCCTCAAATAGGGTAATTTTTTAGTGAATTCTTATGGGATTATTGCTGTACTCAACCTAATCGACACTGAGATGCAAGTGAAGTCACAACAAAGGAACAGAGAGTTCAAGAGAGGTCAGCACAAACTGAAACTTTCATGTTATTCATGGACAGATCTTTGTTTTGTGACCCTGACCAGCCATTGCACCACACCAGATATTTACAGAGACAGCTCAGCAGTTTTCATTTATCCCTGGATGTTTTCTCTTTCCCCTTCTTTATTAACTGCGAGGACAAAGTTGGAATTACAAAAACAGAAAAAGAAGGGGGAGGGGAAGGAAATCCAAGAAGCTTGGTAGAAAACACAGGCAGAAGGGAAAAATGAGACCCGGCTGAAAAGATGTCTGAAAAATGGAGCATGACCGTCAGTTAAAAAGATTCATGCTTCAGATTCATGCTTATTCTCTTGGACTACATGATATGGTAGTGATACCACTGCAGACACTAAACTTATGAGGCTGAATAGCACAGGGAAAACAAGTCAACATGATTTCTTCACTGTAAAATGGAATCTCTGGAAGCAAAACAAATGCATTGACTCTACATGGATAAAAATATGGTTTAATGTATTTCAGTGTGACAAGATGTGCTAATGAAAGCCCTGATTCCACAAATATGTGTCTAAAGTGCATTGACTTCAGGACTTTAATACGAAATAACTATGAAAGTGTTACCAGTATCATCATTTTTGTTATGTTTCACACTTGCTACATTTATTTTCCAGCCTCTGCTCAAAACACAAACCATCAATTCCTTTGAACTCATTTCTCTTCACCTGCGCAATCCTCGAATCTTCAAACGTAATTAAATCTTCTAACTTAATTTAACTCATTTAGACCAAAACCCCAATGTCTAAATGTCCTTTAGGCCAAACTGATGAAATAATTTGCATGAGATTCCTGCCAGTCAGAATGACCGTGCTATGCAAAATTCAGCCTTGATTAGAGAGGTCTAGCTCCAGGTCCCTTAGTGATATTTCAAACTCAGAGCAGAATCTAGTTTTAAAATTACATTAATCGTCTGGTGGCTAAGAAATGTCTATACTCCCACTGCAGTAATACCTAAGCATCTAAGAATATTTAATGTCTTGACATCATAATGCTCTTTTTACTTAATTGGAACCTGAAGCACAAAGGGCTAAGTTATTTGCCCCAGGTCTCACAAAATGGCCTGGGTAGAAAAGCAAATTAAATCCAGACTTCCTGAGTAGAACAAAGCAAATGTTTAGGTTTTGGTTTGCTACTTGACCAATAAGAAATTAAGGAAAAAAAAAAAAAAAAAGAGTTAACCAAAACCCATTTCTTTCCCACATTTTAAAAATAAATATCTAAATAAAAAGCACAGTTATTTTGTGTTTTCCAAACCACCTAATTCCATTTTCTGAGGTTTTGTGTTCTTTAAATACTCTCCTTCTTATTATCTTCCTTGTTCATTTTGTCAGTTTTCAGATCCAGAAATCTCCAGGAGGTATAGCTTTAAAAACAGGAATTATTTTTTTTCTGTTTTCTATATTTGTTTTGGCTCAAACTCTCCAGCCCTTCAGTGATTACTCTTCTGGAGCCAAATAACTTGAGGTTCACTTCAGAAAGATGTCCATGTCGGCACCTTGGTTCCACAGTACCAGTCTAACATTGTAGGAACAAATTCTTCCAGACTGAATCAGAACTGAGAATCCAGTCAGACCTTGGCACCTTTTCACATATCTCCCCTAGTTGGAAAATATCAAAGCAGCTCTCAAGTAAATTTTTTGTCATTCCCCTGTAGACCTTTGACAGGAGGAAATAGCTGATTTAGATGACAACAGGAAAAGTCCCACATCTTTGATTCTAATGAGGATAGTAAAGCCAAAATTGCAGTTTCCCAGCTCTTGGGACAGCCATGACCTCCAAGGAAACTGATGATCTGGTGCCATGATTGTTAGACAATTTCCACAGGTTTTTCCCTCAAACTCCTGTAGTTTTTTTGCTCTCTAAAAACTCATTAGATCCTTCAAGAGATGCACAATGTGACACTGTTGAAATAGAAGCCAGGAGGTTGGAGGAGGAGATGGAGATAAAAAACTAACTTTCCTTTTAGGCATCGAACAAGACAAGCTCACAAAGAGGCAGTGTTACAGAGCCAAGGAGTCTTTTCTAAGCCTCCTTGTTTGGTTTGAGGAGCTCAGTTCTAAGATAGCAAGTACAGTTATTGTATCTCCCAGAATTAGTTAACCCTTTACGGCCCTAGCATTTAAGAGAGAAGCATCAGCAACAAATACGTTTTTCTGTAGCTTCACTTTTTCACTGGCAAAGCAGGAATAATAACTAATGCAATGAAATGACACTAAGTCTTTTCATATCTTGTACTTAAAGTAGCTATATCTGAATAATAGTGTCTTTAAGCTATACATCTGCTTTAATGATCATGGATTATTAAAACAAAAAACATATAAAAAATCATTCTCATCCCCTTTTTGGTATTCTTTGTTTTTTTGCAATTTGCTGTGTTTGGGCAATGGAGCCAGGCAGGATCAGTTTCATTTCCTGCTGGTTTTAAACCATTTCATGTTTTGATTTTAATATAGAAACAAATGGTTGTTGTGGGATAGGTTCACAATAGTGCAGGCAGACTTTGAAATTATTTTAATGCAATCCTCAGTTCACATAATTGTTGCGATTTATTTATAAATTGTGAAAATATTTTACCTTTTAAAAAAATTTTTAAAAGTTTGGCAGCAAACCTATATTTTGGACTGAGCATATGGAACAGATCTCAGGGAAATCGGCAAAGCAGAGTTTTTTTTTGTAATCTAGGCAAGTGTAAATCCAGAGTGATTTTACCAATGATAGTGACATTCATTTGGATTTGCAGCTGTGTAAAATGATAATGTCTGTTATTTTCTTATTCTTGTGTGGGCAGTAGCTGAGACATCTTAGCTGGCGTTAAGACTTTGGCCCAGTTTGAATATTTTATTCTATTAATATAAATTGACTGTTTCATTATGCAAAAGAACCTGGAGAGGAACAGCAACTTGGGACAAATGATATAAAATTAAGTGAAATCAGTGTTGTCACTGTTATGACTATGGAGACCCTGGCTGGATCACATGGTGTGGTGTAACTCACCAGCACAGAACAGAAAGGTTCCCACAACTGTACCATGTTAATCTTTCCCAGGGTGAGCTCGTGGTCAAATACATCTGAGCAACAACTGCTTACCATGTCACCTCCACCACCACAGTCATCCTAAGTAACTGCTATACACTGTCCTCCCACCCTAGCTGTAAGTTAAGATTTCTTTCGTTACTAGTTAAGCCAATATTTCATGCTAGTTGCAAGCTAGGACCTGCACTCTCATTTACCACAGCTCAGCTGAGACATGGTAACAATCACCACAACCTGTCTGCATGTCCAAGCCCTAAGTACCCAAAGAAGGATTTACAGCCTCAGCCTTTGGAAGACGCTAAGGGTGAAAAAAGCCAGACTTGGAGGATGTTAAACTGTAATAGTTCAAACACAGAAGCTTTCTTGGACAGGAGTCTGTTCACAATATAGCTTCTACTCTTCCCTGGTACCTACTAGCTTTTTCAGCACAGAAGTTCTGGAGCACGCCCGAGTTTAGAGACTACAGCAGTGTCTCCATTTTATATGCACTGAGCACACTGGCCTTTTTAAAATGAAGCTTTTTCAAATCTGAGTTTGTGAGCTGTCTGAAGACATGCTGCCTGCCCTCCTGACCTGCTGGCTCCTCAGCCAGTCTTACCCCAGAAACTGCACTGTAGAGTTTGCTTTGTCAGATACTCTCTGTGTGTGCTTATCTGAGTCACCTAACTGGTCTGTGCCCTGTCCATCAAGAATAGATGGGTACAAGCCCATCCTGGGAGCAGCAGTGGGGTCACACATGTTTCCAAGGAATAGGTGCTATGAAATAGGTCTTGTTTAAACCTGACACTTTGCATTTCCTGTGCCAGGCCAGATAAGACTCCTCAGTTTCTCAGCCAGGGCTGAGTGGTTGAAAAAATACAAGACCCAGAGCATTTTCAACCCCTGTAAAAGGCTTTTTAGTATATCCCCAGGTCAAAATCCAAGTTGTTGGCCAGGGACTCTCACAAGTAGGTGAAGTGTTTGCATGAACTCACTGGGACAAACTGTGTTTCCCTCCATTGCCTTCACCTTTCCCTCACATATAGGCCTCTGCTTTGCAGCTCTGGGGAGACAGTTACCAGTGTGACAAGCATGTCCCCTCTACAGCCCAAGAAGGTAAAGAAAAAGACAGCAAAAGAGAAACAAGAGCAGCCACCAGCTATCCCAGCAAAAGGTATGAAAACAGAGATACAGAAGTATTTTAGATCCCGAGCACAACCATGGGGGGGACATCCCAGAGAGCATGGGATGTCAGCCACTGGCTCTGCCTGTGAGGTGACCCGTGCTCTCTCCCATTGATGGTGGAAGAAATGGCCCATGCCTGCTGCTGAGACGAGGCTCTCACCTCCCTGCAGGTTTAGCTATGCAGAAACCTGGTCGCTGAGTCCAAGCAAAAGGTCTCGGCTCCCACTAAGCAAATGAGAGAAAGGAACCTCTGTAGCAATATTTACCCTGCTCAATGAGAAGATTAAAGTTAGGCAAGATAAAATTTCATTTTGGGGATAGACTGAAGGAAGGCAGAACACTGGACTTTTAAAATTGCAGGTGCACTTGAAAAGTCAAGCAAACTGAGCAGATAAAGACCAACCTATCGGGGACCTCACTTTCCAAGAGGATTTGCAATTGCCTCTGGGGTCTGTCTCACAAACTCTTGGGTGTACTTTCTGAGCACCGCTGCCAGTGCTGAGCCACAAGGAAAGAGGAAGGAAAGGACTTGAAGGTTTACTGTGGGTTACATCACAAGTCATCACTTCCAATGGGGTATATCTGCTCTGGCTTCTGCACACAAATAGCATTTTACATATCAGATTCTTTAATCTTATGAATTTTTCTAATTCACTAGCTCTAAGCTTCATTGTAAAATACAGTGAAACTCTGATGTAAGTACATGTATTTGCTTCTAATATGCTATTAGTATGTAATTTATAAATTGCTAGTGCATATACTAAAAATTACAGTGAATGGTAATAATATGAAATGATCCCTTATTATTTATTTCCATAGCTCCAATAGCCAATAATTTTCCTAAGCCTAAGCTCTTGAAACCTCAAAGAAAACTGACTCTGGTAAGTAATTTTCTATAACATTATTTCTCTACATTCTCCTCTCTGAATACAATTGCTGTAATGTTGCCCGAAATCTAGGTTCAGAAATTATAAATTAGCTTAAGAATCATACAATCTTTTTTTTTTTTTAAATAATATTTTTTCAAGTGATGAATTATCTTGGCTCTTTTCATTTTGAGCATTAGGTTAAACTGGATTATACTTTCCAGCTTTCTAGCAGTCATTTTGTCTACCAATTTAACCCATTCTTAAGTGAAAACTGATATTGATTCTCACATGCTTCTGGCAGCTGGTGCTTTGGAAAAAATACCAGTTGCTGACAGAATCACAACTGTACTGGTCATGCTGCTTTTGAGGCTTTTCAAGACAGAACTGGGGAACCTGATTCTGCCTTACAGTGGTGTAAATCAGGAATGACTGAGGAATGAACTGCAGGAATGAGATGTATGTATATAGCTCTAGTATATTAAGGAAAAAAAACCCACAAACATCTCATATGACAGGTTCTGTTGGATACGAATTTGTGTTGGAAAAAAAAATCTTGCAGATATATGTCAGACAAATCAAATAGACAGTGAGATATTTCTGTGCTTTAGTAACAAAGCAGTACCTGGATGAGACATCCAGGAGTAGTAGAGACAGAGTTTTATGCCAGCTAACTTCAGCTGCCTATATAAAGAGACTGGTTTGCTAGGCTCCCTGTATAATCAATAAAAAGAGAAATGAGTCAGGATAGGAGCCTGTTGCACTTACTAAGAGATTAGATGCTCTGAATTACCTTTTGAGAATCTTTTCTAACTTCTCTGGCAATAGAGACCAGAGTCTCTAACTCAGGTGAAGGTGGGTGCCTAAAGTTAGGCTATATGGATAACCTGAATGCCTCTGTGATGGTTTCACTTTCAGATAAGGGTTAGAATTGAGAACTTTCCCACCAATTGTCAGTAAATAAACTCTGCGCTATTCAGCCTGGTCAGGGTACAAGCCAAGATACCTGAGCATAATGCCAGGTGACTTCAGAATAGCTCAGCTAAAATCTTAGGCGATATTGCTGTGTTGGTATGGAGCTCACCTCTCCTCTGCTGGTCCTGTAGGGATTGCCCCTTGGCCAGACTCTGCTCATACAGGTCAATGTTTCAGTAGAGGAAGAGGCAGATTCTTAAAAGTCCGTGAAAAAAAAAACTTATATCCATGTAGGGAATTTTGTCAAGCCAACACTATGCTAAGAGAAAAAAGACACAGAGAGCACTTGGCACCAGGGGATGACAGCCACCCTTTGCTGTGTACACAGTGCAATAATCACCGTGCCCAGGCACGTGGCTACATCAGAAGCCAGTTAAGTCTTCAGCCCTCCTAGGTCTCATCAGTGAAGGCATTCAGACTCTTCCTGCAGGTCAATAAAGCACATCCATACATGTTGAACTTGAGGTAAATTGGTTTCCAGATGCTTTTTCTTCCTGGAATAAATCCAAGTATATGTGCCAGAAATAGCAGTTGGCTCTTCCCTTCCTGCTATGCAAACCCAGTCAAGGTTCAAACACTTTGGAGGTGAACAGGAACAAAGCCTTTTCAAACAATGAAATCAGCTTTGTCTTCTCTGGCGTGACTGAGGATCCACATGGTGCCTGCAGCCAGCAGACTCACTTTTCGTGCATTGCTGTTGGGCTCGAGTCTGGCAGCTGTCTCCAGATGTTGCTCTTTTCTCTTTCATATTTCATCTTAGAGCGCACCTGGAGAAGCAGTGCAGCCTGAAGAAAACACATGATATATGGATGTTAGTTTCAAGTCAAAAAGTATTCCAACAAATATTATCCCAAGGATTCTCAAGACCTAAACTTACCTAGCAGTAAAGTGCAAAGTAGCCTAAGCCCACGTCAGTCTGCAAGGCATACTCAGAAACTGGAAGGACACTCTTCAGAGCTGTTCTCTGTTTCTGTTCCTCTTGCCTCTCTTTACAACACAGTTGTTTACATCTCTGTTTTAGTATTCTCACAAAAAAAGAAACAAAATTCCTTTTTTTTTTTTCTGCTTTTAAATGATTTGTCAGTGAAGAAATTAATTGAAGGAAGTTTCATCAAAGATACAAAATAGTAATAATTACAGAAACAAAATGACATTAAATTCATCTAAGTGGAATATTATATTGATTTTCATCAAACTTGCCTTTCCATTTTTTTACTTCTCAAAAATTTCTCAGATTTTAAAGCTTTAGTGTGCTTTGGGGCAAAGAAATATTATCATCATACTGCCAAATCTCTGCAGGATAAAACCCCTTTTTCTTTCCAACTGTAATTGCACAACCGGTGTCTGCACTAGATCTTTTTTCAGTGATGACACATAGTTACTAGGTAATCTTCATTGCAAAGACAGACTCAAATTTCTGAGTTTCTGGAGTTCTTCTGCAGCTTCCCTGTGCAACCCAAGGAAGGTACCAGACCAGTGCACTGGAGAATATTCTAGAAAACCTAAGCAAACAAGCTGGAGTATCAGGGAACATTACAAAATATTTCAAGTGTTTGGGGAAATTTTTTGTAATAACCTAAATACCAGTAAAATTATTTCCAGAGGACGTGTGTTTCTGGTTTCTTGAAAGATGTTTATAATAAGCTAGAGAATTTCTTTTGCTGTTAACGTGCTAGAGTGGGTTGCAGTACAATTTTACAAGAATACAATAACCTGGATAAAATATGGACATAATCTCAATGAAAATTAAAAAAAAAAAAAAAAAAAGAGAAAGAAAGCTTAATATCATGTTCAATTGTACAGCCTTGAGTAAAGCCTTTTAAAAACTCTGCTTAAGTCATATTGCTTTTGCTTTAGCCAGAATAACAATTCTATGCTCCCCTTGTTGCAGAAATATTCCCCATCAGTGTCATTCTCTATTAGCATCAATGAAAAATGTGTACAGATCAAAGGAAATAGAGATGCTGAAATGCAAAAAGGGATGTTTTTTATAGCATCCAAGAAGCATCGAGAGTCATTAGGAAGAAGAAAATTCTAGGGGCCCACAAACTCTACTCTCTAAGGGCTGTTCTGCTGTAGCCTTAAGTACTTAGCCCTTTGAGTTTGTAGAGATAAATCTTACACTTCCTCAACCAAATTTTCTGGTAAGGCTTTTATTGCCTCCTAGAGATTAGTTGTCACAGCCCAAGAGTGTCAGTTATAGAATATCATCTAAATGAAAAGGTTTCAGTGTCTTTTCGTGAAGGTTTGCACCACCAAGATTAGAATTTCTTGTGTAATTCACTAGAGTCAATAGAAAGGACATGACTTCAGGTTAAAGCAAATCCTTCATTCTTTGTTTATGCAGATTTTTTTTGTGGACTTCATAATTTTCATACTAAATTTTAAGGCAAGAAATACCTGCACAGATAAGATAGGCTATAGGGCATCTTCCAGATTCTGCTGCTGACTTACATGGCCTCTGCTAAGTCATATAATCATCCCACTCTGAAATCAGATAAATATATCCTGTATTACAAATGATCCCCTTGGTCTTAGTTCTTCAAACACTTGGTACATGTAAAGCACACTGTTGCTTGAAGAGTTGGCTTCTGCTGTTCCTACACTGACTAACCTCTTGAATAAAGTCTTTACTGGAGTGCATCTGGCTTCTCTTGTTCCCCACAACAGAATACATACAGGTCCTCTGTGACTTCTGAGGCCAAGTGCTTTCAGTGGTGATAGCTGAGCTATTTAAGAGAAGCATCCTTTTAACTTCAGCTCATACAGTGTGGACAACATTGTTTATCTCAGCGTGGATTGGATCACCAGTGGCCTGGTACCACATGATCACTGAGATTTTCTGATGATGATGATGATGTAAAAGCTACTGGAGAAACAGGAAAGACTTACAGTTACCTAAGCTAGCTAGGAAAGGTGGGCTAGTCAGTTTTTTGCACAGCTAAAAAATTAGTCCCCATTAGTCTTAACCTGTAGGTAACATTTGCCCTATCCTTGAGAAAGAAGAAGGAAGTGAAGTACATCTGTTCAATAATTTGTGGATTTTGGATCCGGAAACAATCAAGTTTTCCTTTCTTCTGCGTAATTTTAAACTAAAAGCTATGCCAATTACAAGAGTTGTTTCCTCCACAATATGTAACAATGGGTGACAATTTCAGTTTCCAATTTCTTAAGGCATTATTGATCTCCGTAGACTTCAAGTGACATTGTAGAGAAGATATACAAAGGAGTGACAAACATTTTTTCCTTAGACTCTCTGCAATGCTTGACTATTTCATCCAGTCTATGTCATTTTTATCTCTTCAAGAAGAAGAATCCTTTTTTTTTTTTTTTTTTTCAGTCTCTCCTTAGGACACAAGATGTCCATAGGAACATGAATATCATTTACACATTCAGGTTGACACTGAGAACACAATATACTCAAAACTACTGAGTAATGCCTGCCATCCCATTCAGATCACATAACGCTATCTTTACCTCCAAGAAGGAACAGTTTGTATAAATACATGAAATCTCTTGCTGGAATTGTGCCGAGACGTGTATTTACAAAATCCCATGACAGATGCTTTTCGTGTGATGACACATTTGGAATAATAAAAGTGTCACCAGAGAACTGAAAACCTTTAAATACTTCCCTGGGCCTTTTTGAAGGATAAGAAGAAATGAGCCTGATTTCCAGCAATGTTGATTTAGAATCTAGGAATAGCTCAGCAACAGTAAAAGGAATAAAGCATTAGAAAAGGTGAAGACACTTCTCCCCAAAAGCTGATAAAACAAGCTGGACGAATATCTGCCAGGTATATTTAATTCTGTTAATGAAGAAAGATGGACTGGCTCACCCCTTAGCATCACTACCTGCCTGACATTTGTGGGATTCTGTTTCTTTAAAACAAAATCATTCAATGGGACTTAGTGAATCATCTTTGTCCCAGACATTGTTATCATAAATTCTGTGGGATTTGATAGCAAAACTTAGATGCAATGCTGAAACTGGCTTCACAAATTCCTGTAGATATTGTTCCAGGGAATCTGGGAAGTTG